TAAAACCCCTTCCTCATGTGACACAAAAGCAACAATCCAAAACTACATGTATAATAACAACATTTATTTTCACGAAGATTATACCAAAAAGCAATTAATTGAGGTTCTACAAAGCTTGAACCTACAAAAGGAATACGTCTGTGATAATTATGCAAAAAATCTAGGGCATACAGTTTTAAGGCTTCTACTGTATATTTAATCCCATTGAACATGTGTGGCACCAACTGAAATCTGCCATTCGTCGTAACAATGTATTCCCCCGTGTTAACTCCAATTTCCTCAAACTTATAGAATCCGAAATTTTTAATATCCCTCCACAAAGTTGGGCAAATTCTGTTAAACATACAGAAAAACAGAACAATCGTATATAATCCATATTGCAAATAATAATTAGAACAGGCAATGATAGCGATAGTGATACTGATATATTATGTGAATAATTTTAAGTAATTTAAGTAGTTAAAAAAAATAATTTGTAATTTTATTTAAGATTTAAACATAAATACATAAATAAATAAATATTGTTTAGTATCTTTCCTAACAAAACCCCAAATAATTAAATTCTAAGCAAAGTACAGCTTGCCCAGGTCTTTCCTTAATTCGTATTAGGTAGTCACATTCTTATATCTACGAACAGACTTTACCTGAAGACATTCTAACTTAGTTGTTACGAAAATCGATGAAATCGAATTTTTCGTATAAACATTTTATTACTCAGCAACGGTAGTTGCTACCGTTGTTGGTACCTACAGAACGACTCAGCATGGAAAAAAATTGTTTTGTTGTCTGTACGTTCTCCGTTCTCTGTTTGCAGGATTTTTCGACGATAGCGTTCGAACGTTTTGAGCTAGACACTTCAAATTTTCTTCCCTTTAAAAGATATGTGAAAATTGCAGGCGAATAGCGTTTGATCGCCTGACGGAACCTATTGAAATTGGGGGGGGGGGGGGGGGTGCTGGAAGGTGGGGAAGTTTAGAAAAAATTAAAAACCGCGTTTGCAAAGGTCCAAAAAAAAATTGAAATATTTTTAAGAAAATTTTGAAGTTATTTTTCGGGATATTTTGGATTCCAGAAAAAAAATATTTTCTGCGAAATTAACTTTCTCTTCTCTGAACATATCTTTCATTTTAAGCATTTTTTCGATTATATACAGGGTTTTTCAATTATAGACAAAAATCTAAAAGACCCTGAAAATTGTGCTTTACGGCATTAAATTGTTAGGCGTAAATCAAAATTCGTATAAAATATGACAATTTGGTTTGCACAGTAATAAAGGCCACATCGAAACCTACATTTTTTGTATTTAAGTCCACTTGACACTGGCTATATCTTGCACTCAATGTAGGTGCGACGTCGTCATTTACTATTACGGCGTACTGCATGGTTTCAGAAAAATGTTTTCTCGAAAACAATTTACTCTACTGGAAAAATTAATATAAAAAGGAAACGTGGGAGATCGGGGGCTATAACTTTTACCTCAGGCATTTTTTGGATTATGTACAAAGTATGTAAAAAAAACAGTTTTCCAGGATAAATTATTAACCGCAAATGAGAAAATATAAAACATGGAATAATTTGGTTTAAACAGTATCGTAAATTGTGTGGAGAAGTAGTTTCAGGTTTCAGGTTCAGCGGCGCGACTTCTTTTTGAAATGCAAAGGTGGTTCGCGCTACGCACGACGAACTCGCCAAGCACGGCGACGATTTTTCGACAGCAATCTCATTTGACAGGCAACAGAAATAAATAAAGCATTAGCTCATTCTTTCACTTCCACTTCCACAGGCTACTGTAACACTATTTACAACTCTTCTGAATTCCTCCTGCGTCAGTTATTCATGAATCGAACATGCTGACGTTTCATCAATCAGAGTTTAACTGAAACCGGCTCGCAGGATCGCATTCTACTCTGTACATGCTTATATATTGTTTGAGGGAGGCGGAGCAAAAGGAAGGGGGAACGGACATTGTCTGGCATACTGGAGTGAATCGCGGTTAAGATTGTTTGGTTAATTAAAGACTTCTAGGTTTTTGGATTTTTCTTTGATAGAAAAGTTAATTACACGTTACTTTAGTTTTATCTAATAAGATTTGATGTTCGCTTTCGTAATTCTATTCGGCAACTGTTGATGAGTTTGTTTGTCGTAATCTTAGGGCTCTTTCATGTTCTTTGAGCCTAGTTGATATTTTTTCGTCCGGACTCTCCAATGTATTCTTTGCCGCATATTCATCGAACTCTATAAACTCCTAGTATCTCAAACATTTGATATGTGGTCAGTATTTTTTGAATGTAAGGAAGGATGACAGTGGCAAATGAGTAGTTGCTTTTGAACTCATTCATTTTGGAACGTTGTGGACATTATTAGAGAGGAGAGCAAATTTAAGATGTTTTAATTGTGAGTTCAATAACTCGGGTTGAGATATTTTAAGGGCTCTGTTGATAACCGATAATTTTTGAGATGACTGGTGTGTGAAGCTTTTCTGTAAACATAATGTTCCAATGTTAGGTCTGATTTTCTATTGATAAAAATATCTAATAATAGGAAATTATTATTAAAACCTATGTAAGGGTGTACAAATGGCCAAGAAAATCTCGGAGAGATTCTTGACCATGAGGCCAAATAACAAAAGTATTATCAATGTACAATAACCATAACCATAACTTTGGTTTTACATGGAAGGTGTAGAGGGCTTTCTTCCCAAGGCCTTAGATGTTACCAACGTTTGTTCATAAATTTGACAGTGTAACTGACCCGCTTGTTGGGTGGTTTATGAATTTTTGTTGTCAATTCATGTTATGGATCTGTGCGGCAGTGTGGGGAAGGACAGGGCATGTTAGATAGGTTAGATTAGGTTAGGTGAGAAGGGAGGTTAAGTGTCGAAGTCGGAAGTTAGTTGACAGCTGTTTTGGTGAGTGAAGTATACGTTTACGTCAAGGTAATAAATGAATTCTAGTTGTTTAATGTTCCCTGAGAGACAAGTTACAACGGTTACAACAAAAATATGTCACAGGTATGCATTCTTCAATTGAGATGAGAAGGTTCGGTTACACATTCTCGGATTTAAGTAGATATGAAATAATATTGAGAGTTTCAGGAATATCGACTTCAGTGAAGAGGAGTTCTACGTCGAAACTAACCAGAATACTGTGTGGATTTAATGCAATGATTTTTAATTGTTCAATGAAATGAAAGGAATTAAAAGTTTTCCCTGTAAAGGGTTTTTAATGTATAGAAACTAGATACTTTGCTAGATAATTTGTTGGAACACCAATGGTGCTTACAATAGGTTTTGGGATTCTTAGGGAGCTGATAGAGACGAGGAATTTTAGTGTTATGAGGAGTACCAGACTTTTTCATTGATTCTGATAGATGCGAAGTCTTAATAACAGATTTAAGGTTCCGTTCCATAGCTGATGTAGGATCTTTTTTAAGTTGATGAAGGAACCTTAAATTTTTTTCTGATTTACACTTGTGTTCATTTATCTGCTTTTCGAATTACGATGCGGGGATTAAAGTTTACGGATTTTAGGCTTTGGAAAATTAGATTTAAGAGAATTTAATTTTTTAAAAATTTAATATATCTACGACTTCTAAAAAAATGTATATTCACTCGGTGACTTCAACCAAACGTTTCCGTATTACAATTTGAAGGTTTCCTCATAAAAACGAAACGCGCCCGTTAATTAAGTGGCGTAGACGTTTTTGGACCGGCAATTAGAGAAGTAAGTTTGACGGGAGAGCCCTTAGGGGCGACAATCAGTGTCGAAGTTCGTTCGGGGAATGATTTAAGGAACAAAGCGACTTTCGCGCGCAAAAATCTCGCGAAAACTCCCGCTTCCTCCCGCGGGAACTCAACGTTTTCAATTTCTCCGAGCGGCAACGAATCCCGGGTCCCGGAAACAAAGAAATTAATCCGCGAAACCGGGGATATAGTCAAAGGCAAAGAGAAACGCGCGAGCATAAATTATTTCGTTGGGAATTGGCGATCGATATAATAGTTGAAAATTTAAATAAATTCTAATTAAAGTGCAGGTATAAACAATTAGGAAATCATTTTGTGCAGCACTTGAAACTTCAAACAATACTTAAAAAATGCTTCAAAACTGTAATGCGTATAATTCACATCACACGTATACAAATACAAAAACTATGAAATATTTACGAATGGTTTCCTATAACAAGTCATTGTTCAAGGAAAGAATACAAGAATCTAGATAGTAGCCTTAACGTCGAGATTATGTACGAAACGTTTAAAGCCAAATTTCCAGAGACAAACACTAAATACAGCTATTACGATACTTTTTTTCGTGAAAAGTTTACTTGTCCTTGTCCTTGTGCACAAAAAAGGGCCAAAAAGTTTTATATGTAAAATGTTGATTAGCCATATACACCTCTGTCTTTGTAAAACCCAACTACCAGTTGTGCGCATAATTTAAAAACACAAAATGTTGTTTTTTTATGCATATCATGTTGGATTATGTCAAAAATCATCCAATGTCAAACTTTTGAAGTTTTTTAAATCCTAAAACAACAAATAATCAAAGAATGACAATATCTCTACATTCCCAAAAATAAAGTTAAATATATTTGGTAGGGATGGTTCAAACAGTTGTACACATAATTTAAAAACAAAAAATTTTGTTTTTTTATGCATATATTTTTAAAGCTTTTTAAATCCGAAAACAGCTACTAATCAAAGAATGACAATATTTCTACAATCTCAAAAATAAAATTAAATATATGTATATATCTTACTCAGCAGAGAAAAGGAAGGACGGAATATCAAATATGCAAAAAAAAAACAAAAAACTCCTCTATGTCTTCTCTATTGAGATTTTATCTATTTTCTCTATACAATGCTCATATATATGGCTTAATATACAAGAGAGACAGTTAATTTAATTTCCAGATTCTCGCCTAATAAATGTCTGCGGATAAACAATGTTTTAAATGAAAGGTAAGCGAAATTTCTCGGAATTCTAATTGTAAAATTTACTTACCTGGAGCGAAGTGAAAAACGGTTCGTTACTCCTGAAATAAAATAGAGAGTGAATTAAATTTTACAATTCTCTCAGGAAAGTATGCAATAATTTTTAATTTTCCAGGAGAAATTACTTTGAATAAAGTCTCTACCCATCGTAAAAATTTGATTTTAAAACGGCTTATACGCCAAATGGCGGTCTCCTAAAAAAAAACAATAAAAATTCGAACTTTACTGAAAGTTGAAATAAAAACATTGTACAGGATGATTGATTGGTAGGATACACAATTTACAATTAACTTAAATTATACAGGATTTTGATTTCCTTTCAAGATTCTTCAACATTTTGTAAAATAATAGTACATAGTTTTTCCAATATTTTAATTTTTCCAAAAAAATACTAGTTTTCAAAAAAAATACGCCAGAGCCATTATACTTAAAGGTAGATCACTAGGATTCAAAGCTAAGGTTATTCAAAGCTAACGTTAAATATATGTGCAGCGGAACTTTTGGATATTTGGAATGGCTCAATATATATTTTTATTTTTTCTGAAAGATCTTACAAAAACAAACAACTTTTAATACGCCTTATAAATATTTTTAATACTTTGCGATTTATTTTAACGCATTTTTAACTTGACAACTCAGTAAATAAATTCATAAAATTTATTGTGACGTCAGTAAAAAAAACTAAGGGTGAATTTGTCTAAAGCTGAATTAACTGATATGGTTTATATACTAGGTGAGGCGGAAAAAAATAATTTACTAATGAATATGAAAAACGGAAAGTAGTAAACCGGAATGCTACCAATGAGGAAAAGGAATTTTAAATTTTACTTCAATTTAAAAATGATCCCCAGGTCAGTAGCCGTCAAGTAACTAGCTTATGTGATGCATCCAAATCAATAGTTAATCGCACCACTAGAAAACACATCATCCCTTCCCTATGGCACTACACCAAGAACTTCTAAATCATGATTTTTAACAAAGGGTAAACTTCCGCACCTTTATCAATGAAGCAATCCCAATTTTTTGTCTAAAATAATATTTTTTAATGAAGAAACTTCTCACAGTAATGGTGCAGTTTATCGTTATAGCATGCATTGTTATTCAACATACTGATTTACCTCAAATTCTTCAAGAAGTTGATATGATTGAGATCCAACGAATATGACCGGACATTTAGCTCCCCCCTCCGCTAATTTTTAAATAATCATTACCCACAGAAATGGATCGGTAGAGTCATTTAATGGATTCCATGATCAAGTGACTTAACACCGCTAGATTTACTTTTTTGGGCATACGTTAGAGATCAACAACAGAAGATATGGAGACACGTGCAGGAGAATAACACCGGCTATGCTAAGGAACGTAAAGGAAAATATATAAAAAAGACTAAACATGTGTATTCAAGTAGAAGGGCACATTTTTGAATATGTATTGCATCGTAATAATAATTAAAAATAAGATAACTTATTTACATTTTCTGTGAATTTAAAATTTGGCAGTTATTTTCTCCAAAATTCCTGATAAGTTGCTTTATCTGCGGCCCAAACAAGGTTCTTTGTCCTGTTCTTTTTTTGATATTAACAGAGCCGACCGATATAGCAATAGCCTTGGACAGAAAGAAGGGTAAATGTTTCTTCTATATTTCCTTCTTTAACCTCTCACGCTCATGTCCGTGTCAATTTCTCAGCGATCACGACAGATCTTCGTTTCTGGAATATTTTTGTGATGTTAAAAGTTTTCTAATAATTTGCCAGTTATTTTCTCCAAAATTCCTGATAAGTAACAGTTGCTTTATCTGCGGCCCAGACAAGGTTCTTGGTCCTGTTCTTTTTTTAATATTAACAGAGCCTACTGATATTATAGCAATAGCCTTGGACAGAAAGAAGGGTAAATATTTCTTCCATATTTCCTTCTTTAACCTCTCACTCTTATGTCCGTGTCAATTTCTCAGCGATCATGACAGGTCTTGGTTTATGGAATATTTTTGTGATGTTAAAAGTTTTCTAATAATTAAAAATAAGATAAGTTAATTACATTTTCTGTTAGTTTAAAATTTACCAGTTATTTTCTCCAAAATTCCCGATAAGTAACAGTTGCTTTATCTGCGGCCCAAACAAGGTTCTTTGTCCTGTCCTTTTTTTATATTAACAGAGCCCACTGATATTATAGCAATAGCCTTGGACAGGAAGAAGGCTAAATATTTGTTCTATATTTCCTTCTTTAACCTCTCACCCTCATGTCCGTGTCAATTTCTCGGCGATCACGACAGATCTTGATTTCTGGAATATTTTTTGGATATTAAAAGTTTTCTGTCGTCGTTCCTTTAATTGCCGTATTTGTCATATTTGAGATTACGAGTTTGATGTTCGTTAGGAGGATCGAGATATCGCTCTAAAAACTAAGAAGTTTGTCACAGAAGATTTTTGACCCTTCACGAAGATTTGATAATCCATTTAGGTGATCGGTATGTGGTACAGTCAATACCCGAGCACAAGAAATAAAGTGTACCTACCAGAGAAAGTGTGATTGCGAACATTGGATTTGTTTCAAAATTCGCCTAGTATATTTTCCTCGTCCGTTCAATTTCTCATCGCCGCGGCCTTACTTCAAGAAAAATGCCTTTAGTCGTGTTAAACAATAACGTGCGTGAAATATATTGCTCTCCCATTTTTCATATCCCATTCTGACGTGATTCTTTATCCCAAACGCTGTCCCGTCTGACATTTAAAAATACGTCTTTTTCCCTTATTTTTATACGCTAAATTATGACCAACATCACGCGTAATACTCCGGCGTAGATATTGTTAGAAGAATCTCTACAACTTTTTCCTAAGTCTTGGAAAATCTTACTCGAGATCACACATTGCTTCTAAAGCTTTATTCCAGTCGGGCAAAGCATGAGTTCTGGTAGAAAACACATTGTTAATTTTATTCATTAACGCTCATGCATGCATACATTCCTGCATGGTTAATCGAGTTGGATCTTGATAACGGGAACAACAAACTTCAAGTCTGCTTCTTATGCCTTGTTGTGACATAACCAATATCTGAATATTTGTAGCATTGTCAAAATGCGCGGTTTGCAGCTACTAAATTCAGAGTCCATTGTCGGCTACTCTCTACTATTCACTCATTGATGGGATAAATAATACATGCAGGGGGTTTTCTAATTTATTGTCAATAATTAAAGGTGCAGTTTTTGGGTACATTTTGAAAATAAAACTTCATATGAACATATGTCCTAACGTCTTAACTTTTGAGATACAGGTGATAAAGCTTTCAAAAATTAAATATATTTTTTTAAAATCTGTAATATTACTTTAGTGTACCACCACTTTTTTAACATACACCGGTGACGGGCGTACGGAATTTTGACAGCCATTGATGGTACGCTACTGATTTCTCGTAAAATAAAAATTATTCTTACAACCTCCAATCAATTCTAAAGAAATTTAATTTCTTGATTTTTTTATTTATTTAAAAAATAAAAACGTCTTAAGATAAAATAAAATAAAATAAGAGATCAAATCTGCTCATAAATGAATACAAATGGTATTATTTTTTTAAGGAAATCAATGGCGTGCCACTGACTGTCTATTAGAAAATAATATTTTGATTAATTAAGTCGCCACTGCACTTGTTAAATCAAGAACTTTTGTTTGTGAAAAATAAAATATCTATCTAAAACCAAGCAACTAGTTTTTAGTTACTAACTAGGGTCCTTCAACAAAAGAGATTTTAGGAAATTGTCTGGCAATAAATTAATAACAACCTTTTTGAAAAAAAGTAGAACATAGAAACTAGATAAGTTTTTGAAAGTGTCCTCCACCATGAAAGATAAACGCTTCAGCTTATTTCTTCATATTGCCGCGCATACCTCAAATATTTATTACATCGCAGGAAGCTCTTATACGATCTCCTACAGTGTTAACTATAACTGTAACGATAAACCAGACTTTTAAGATGCCCCCATTGCAAAAAGTCCAAACTATTTAAATCTGGGGACCTAGGGGGCCATGGTTGTGGTCCGTCGCGATCTACCCATCGGTTATTAAATGTGTGATTTAAATTTTCTCTTACTGCAACACTAAAGTGAGCAGGTCATGCATGAACCGCATTGTGTTAATAATTAAATGTAGTATTTCATCTAACAATATTGGCAAATTCTCTTCTAAAAACTGGCGATAATTATGTCCATTTAACCTGGCAGGAAAAAGGGTCGAATTAAGTAATTTTCAATAATTCGAGCCCAAACATTTACCGGAAACTGTTTGAATTCTAGAACTGCAGGGGGGTTTCATCGGCCCAAATATGGTTAATGTGGAAATTTGTGATTGCATTTCTGGAAAAGTTAGCTTCATCCGTAAATAGTATTTCTGGATCAAACAAGGAATAATACGCAATTTGGTCCAAAAACCATTGACAAAAATTACCACGCAAGGGAAAATCTGAAGTAACGCTTGCACTCATTGAATAATTTTTTTTAAGAGAAATCAGTGGCGTACAATGTGGGAAAAAATTTCGTATGCCCGCCGCGGGTGTATTTAAAAAACAAATGATACATAGTACATGTGTGCAAATTTTATTAAAACATCTATAGTGGGATTACGGATAATAAAAATATATATTTTATTTTTGACAAAGTTTTCTTTTTAAAATTGGAACCCAAAAATAGCCCACTTAATTATTGACATTCAATTCGAAAACAGCCTGTACAGATTCACTCTAAAATATCTAAAGGGCGAAGGAAAGAGAAAGGAAGAGCGTTGCTTCTTATATTGGTGAACTTACTTAAGATAGAGCAGTACTTTAAAACCACGACCGAGATAAAAAAAGGAAGTAATGTACCGAATGCATTGAGGTTGCTCATTAGCACAGCCACTTTTTAAAATTTATTTGGAAAGCCACCTGGTGCTAATTGGAGAAGATAGAGAAGACGTAAACTACATGCTGAGGAGACGGCAGGAAGTGGGCACTAAGTATAAGTATGAAAAAACACGGAGTACGTGATTGTGAGAAAAGAGAATGAACGAGACCTAGA